TAAATTTGTTTTAATAAATCAAACTAACTTAGTAAGGATACAAAATAAACATTAACTTTTGAAACAAATCAAATAAACTTTTGAAATATAATGATATAAATAAAATATAAGAGGCATAAATAATAAATAATTTTTTTTTATTAAAATATAATAACTAGGTATGGCCGATTGTCGATTGTGCAATCGATAGTATCGATTGTTTTTAACAATCGATTATAATCCGGTGGCACGACGCCGTGGTTTGGCGGGGGCACGAATACTAGAAAAGACCCGGTATGGATCATAAACATAAACAAATTACGTTTATGGCCCGAAAGTAAACAAAACCATTGTTAATTAATGCTATTATTATAGGGGTTTTGTTTACTTTTGGGCCAAAAACTTCATTTGTTTATGTTTATGATCCATACCGGTATTTTAGTGTTGGTGTTCCTGTTGGGAAGGTCTCATTCTCTAACCTAACAATCTAACATAGTTGTTTAGTTGCGTTGTTCTTTATGTTATTCTTAACTATCTACCCAGTACCCCAGTACCTAACCTACACTGTGGTCTTATTTGTGCCTTAGCGCTAGATATTAATTAGTAAATATGTAAAGTATTATTTTAAGAAATTAATTGTGAGAGAATTATTAGTGTTAGTTAATTTATTAGCTAGACATAATGTAAGAACATGAGACATGAGTAAGAAGACTAAAAAAGTCTAAAAAGTCTAAAAGTCTAAAAAAAACTATCGACAATCAGCCATCCCTAATAATAATAACCAGGGCCGCCGAGAGGGTGAGCAAAAAATGTAGTTTTGTTTGTAAAAAAAATTCAAACAACAAAAATAACACTATGCAACTATTATTGGATTGTTTTCAATTGTATTTTTAAATTATTGGGTGGTTTTGTAATATTAAAATAGTTTTGTGTTAAAAAAACTAACTTCTACCGCATACAGAAACCATCATAAGCATTGAATGGGTTCTACCTGTTATAGAACCCATCATAATCATGGTATGGGAATGCAATTTATTTCTCAGGTAGCTTAAAACATGATGATTATACTACATAAAAATCATTAAAATTGTTTAAACGATTTTTGATATATACATTTTTAACTAATTCGGCAGATCAGATGCCTTGAAATGAACAGGCACAACTTCTACCACTTATAGATTCCATCATAACCATGGTATGGAAATGCAATTTATTTCTCAGTTAGAGTAAGACATTATGATCCTACTTCATAAAAATCATAAAAATCTTGTAAACGGTTTTCAAGATATAAATTTTTAACTATATCGGCCAATCAGTAACCTAGGAATGAACAGGCCCAACTTCTACCTCTTATAGAAACCGTCATAAAAATGGTATGGGAATGCAATTTTTTTTACAGGTAGCTTAATACATTATGATTATACTACATAAAAATGATTAAAATCGTTTAAACGATTTTTGAGATATACAAAATTTTAACTGAATCGGCAAGTCAGTAGCCTAGAAATGAACAGGCCCAACTTCTACCTCTTATAGAAACCATCATAACAATGGTATGGGAATGCAATTTATTTCTTAGGTAGCTTAAAACATGATGATCATACTACATAAAAATCAATAAAATTGTTTAAACGATTTTTGAGATATACATTTTTAACTAAATCGGCAGATCAGATGCCTTGAAATGAACAGGCAAAACTTCTACCACTTATAGATTCCATCATAACCATGGTATGGAAATGCAATTTATTTCTCAGTTAGAGTAAGACATTATGATCCTACTACATAAAAATCATAAAAATCTTGTAAACGGTTTTCGAGATATAAATTTTTAACTATATCGGCAAATCAGTAGCCTAGAAATGAACTAGCCCAACTTCTACCTGTTGTAGAACCTATCATAACCATGGTATGGTAATGCAATTTATTTCACAGGTAGTTTATAACATTATGTTCATACCACATAAGATTCATCAATATGGTGTAAACGGTTTTTGAGATATAAATTTTTAACTAATTCGTCAAATCAGTATAGCCTAAAAATGAACTAGCCCAACTTCTCCCTGTTGTTGAACCCATCATAACCATGGTATGGGATTGCAATTCATTTCACAGGTAGCTAAAGACATTATAATAATACTACATACAAATCATTAAAATCGTGTAAACGGTTTTTGAGATATAAATTTTGATCTTAATCGGTCAATCAGTAACCTAACAATGAACAGGCCCAACTTCTACCCCTTAGGTCATGGTATGGAATTGCAATTTATTTCCCAGGTAGCTTAAAACATGATGATCATACTACATAAAAATCAATAAAATTGTTTAAACGATTTTTGAGATATACATTTTTAACTAAATCGGCAGATCAGATGCCTTGAAATGAACAGGCACAACTTCTACCACTTATAGATTCCATCATAACCATGGTATGGAAATGCAATTTATTTCTCAGTTAGAGTAAGACATTATGATCCTACTACATAAAAATCATAAAAATCTTGTAAACGGTTTTCGAGATATAAATTTTTAACTATATCGGCAAATCAGTAGCCTAGAAATGAACTAGCCCAACTTCTACCTGTTGTAGAACCTATCATAACCATGGTATGGTAATGCAATTTATTTCACAGGTAGTATATGACATTATGATCATACCACATAAGATTCATCAATATGTTGTAAAAGGTTTTTGAGATATAAATTTTTAACTAATTCGTCAAATCAGAATAGCCTAGAAATGAACTAGCCCAACTTCTACCTGTTGTAGAACCCATCATAACCATGGTATGGTAATGCAATTTATTTCTCAGGTAGCTTAAAACATGATGATTATACTACATAAAAATGATTAAAATCGTTTAAACGATTTTTGAGATATACAATTTTAACTGAATCGGCAAGTCAGTAGTCTAGAAATGAACAGGCCCAACTTCTTCCTCTTATAGAACCCGTCATAAGAATGGTATGGGAATGCAATTTATTTCTCATGTAGCTTAAAACATGATGATCATACTACATAAAAATGATTAAAATCGCTTAAACGATTTTTGAGATATAAATTTTTAACTAAATCGGCAGATCAGATGCCTTGAAATGAACAGGCACAACTTCTACCACTTATAGATTCCATCATAACCATGGTATGGAAATGCAATTTATTTCTCAGTTAGAGTAAGACATTATGATCCTACTACATAAAAATCATTAAAATCTTGTAAACGGTTTTCGAGATATAAATTTGTAACTGTATCGGCCAATCAGTAACCTAGGAATGAACAGGCCCAACTTCTACCTCTTATAGAAACCGTCATAAGAATGGTATGGGAATGCAATTTATTTCTCAGGTAGCTTAAAACATGATGATCATACTACATAAAAATGATTAAAATCGTTTAAACGATTTTTGAGATATAAATTTTTAACTGATTCGGCCAATCAGTAACCTAGTAATGAACAGGCCCAACTTCTACCTCTTATAGAAACCATCATAACAATGGTATGGGAATGCAATTTATTTCTCATGTAGCTTAAAACATGATGATCATACTACATAAAAATCATTAAAATTGTTTAAACGATTTTTGAGATATACATTTTTAACTAAATCGGCAGATCAGTTGCCTTGAAATGAACAGGCACAACTTCTACCACTTATAGATTCCATCATAACCATGGTATGGAAATGCAATTTATTTCTCAGTTAGAGTAAGACATTATGATCCTACTACATAAAAATCATTAAAATCTTGTAAACGGTTTTCGAGATATAAATTTTTAACTATATCGGCCAATCAGTAACCTAGGAATGACAGGCCCAACTTCTACCTCTTATAGAAACCGTCATAAGAATGGTATGGGAATGCAATTTATTTTACAGGTAGCTTAAGACATTATGATCATACTACATAAAAATGATTAAAATCGTTTAAACGATTTTTGAGATATTCATTTTTAACTAAATCTGCAAATCAGTTGCCTTGAAATGAACAGGCACAACTTCTACCACTTATAGAAACCATCATAAGCATGGTATGGGAATGCAATTTATTTCTCAGGTTGCTTAAGTACTTATAATTATACTACATAAAAATTATCAAAATCTTATAAACCGTTTTTGAAGATTTATGTTTTTACTAGCTCAGGTTTTTATACTATCTTCGCACGTGGGAGTACATTGCGTGATACAATTATGGTATAGAAACAAGTGTTTTTGTGGTTAATATACTTTATTTAGACACCTCAGTTACATATAAATGGTACATTAGTAAAACAAACACTTTAAAACTGCTCAAAACGTATGATTTAAACATAAAATGTTTTTGAGGTTAGGAAGTTTTGACACGTGAAACATGTGTTTGAGGTTAGGACGTTTTGATACATGAAATTGAGGTTAGGAAGTTTTGATGCCACGGCCTTCTTGATCTACTGATCTGACGGTGACGTCATAGCTTAATGTTGGTTTATTGGCAGTTTCACAGACATCTACATCCTATGAATGTAAATTGATTGATCTATTGAACCGATGAACTGCAAGTTTTTTGGCCTTATCGCTCTAAATAATGAGTCTGAAAAAACCAAAAGCCTATACAACTCGGATGAACTGCACCCACTCAAAATTTCATAAATTTGGTCTAACCTTAAACTTTGTCAAATATTCGATTCAAAATTAATTAGCTGACAATGTCATGAGCAGCCTTATCTAAAAATAGAGGCCAACACTAAAATTTGATAATTCATCAGCGGGGGACTGACCCTCCTCCCCAAATAGCCATCATACAACCCTTAATAAATGTATACTTAAGTAAACAAACTTACATCCCTCGAACGAGGCGGTCCAAAGAAACTTATAAGCTTATGCTTAGCTTAGCTAGCTAGGCCACTGTCTAAACTTAATAAATACTATGGATTCTGCGCAACTAAGTAATCTATAGGTTGGATTGTTTGGTACTGTACTGCGTACTGAAGTAATCTCACTGCTATGACTACATGCAAGACGGTGTAACTGGGTTACTCACATCTTGAGGTGGCTGGTGGTGACCCATGTCCTCAGGGGTAGCGGCGCCGGACGAGTCGTCCGGTTTGGCACTGGGGATGGGAATGGTTAGGCCGTTAATGGTCACTCCAAGGAAACACACAGACACTACCTGAATCCGAAATTGGCTAATTGAAAAAAATACGTCCTTTCAAACATGTAACTCGACTAGATGACGCGCGTTGGGCGCCGAACTCTCGAACCTACTGATCCAAGCTTCGACCCGAACCTGACTGAACGGAGGCGAGCGATCATATGGTTGCGGTCGATGGCGGCGGGTGAGTGGGGGAAAGTAGCTGCGCGCTTATTGGCTGACAAGGCGCAGTTTCATCACCTGACTCGTCTCTTGGCAACGGCGGCTACACACTACACACACACACATGCACCGGCCCGGCGGCCGTGTTTTGTTTTGTGAGCTGTCTGCTGTCACTTACGTCAAAACGAACTGTCAAAGTCAAAGTAGCATTTTAAAAATTTGTAGAATTACAGTAGTAGCAATAATACAACTTATTAAGTTTTTACTACAGTTTGTGTTCATTATCTCTAATAATGAACAGATTATTAACTGTGGTAAATCACTAAAACCTGTATAAATACTGTAACTTGCAATATAAATTTTATTGCAGCTGCTGTTTGTAAACAGGTGACTTCGATGAAAGGATAATTGCGTTCTCTAATTTGGACACAAGAACTTTAAAAGAAGTTCAGTCGCGCAAAGTTGCTCACACCAGTAAAACAAAGTTATCACTTTGTTTTATAAAAATGTTTTATAACTCCAGTGGCTCTGGAGTTTCCCATGTTAACCTTATGATTTTTCATATTTAAAAGGAATTGATGAAGCTTAACAGCTGTTTCAATTAAACAAGTTGGTTCTGATCTATGATGTTCAATAGCAATAAAGTTACAAGGATTACCAACAGGGTGCAGCTTTTTTTAGCGAATTTCCCCTAATTTATGACAACAGCTAATTTGCAACCAAAAGGTGAGTGAGCGTAGCGAACGAACTTCAACCTGGAGGCGAGTTAGCGTAGCGAACCTGAAGGCAAGTGAGCGCAGCGAACGAGCTCCAACCTAAAGGTGAGTGAGCGTAGCGAACGAACTTCATCCAGGACAAAGCCCGCGGGTACAGCTAGTTAAAAATAAAGGGTAAAGAAATTATTTAAATATTAATATTTGACGTTAATCAATATATGTGAAAGGTATATATCATATTAATATATGGTAGTATCAATATATGGAGAATATACCACGTGGAGTATGAAAAATACAACTGTCGCGCCGCGACGTACCCATTTGATCCAAGCAAGAGAACTTGAACCGCGCGCGACACATTTTTTGAAGCTGCGATTTGTCGCGATTTAGAGATCGCCGAGTCGCTCACGCGGTGCATAGCTCCAGGATAGCTCCCATTTAACTTAAAGTGCTGATCAAACTCAGCGCATGACGGCGTGATTGTATGGGGTGAGAACCCGTGTTTGTCAGTTTAACTATAGCCTACATGCATTATTATTTCACAACAAAACCAAACTATCAGTAAATATGATAAACATACATACAATTTGGCACACTTGTACAAGCAATGAAATGAAAATGAAGAAATATTCATCCGAACACTCAAAGTACATTGGGCCCAATAAAAGCCACACAGACAAACAAGGTTGTTTGTTGGCTATTTACAGTCATAACTTTGTGGTTAAGGTTGTTTATTCTTTATCACAAAGTGATGACTCGTGCTCGTATAAACCAATTGGTCGAGAGACTATTAAGGGGGGGGGGGCTTCGTTGTTCCCAACTAGGATCAATCGTGAAACAAAACAGCTTAAACAACCCCCTTGCCTTTATAGCCGATAAATTATTATCGTGAGTAACAAACGATTGTGTTGAACGAGTCCAAGTATGTACAGCAAGTATGTACAGCAGTATAAAACGACATGACAAGCAAAGGATGACAAATAAACGTCGTGGAGGTAGACCACAGAGCAGAGTTATTTATCTTTGTTAAATGTTAACATGATAAGAGTAATGAGGTCATAGTAGAATTTGAATGAACATCACGCCACATCCATACATTGGCTCTGAAGCTGTAGAAATGCTGGTGTTGGTCGGATTGGGCTGATAGTCAGCAGTTTAGTTAGGGCGTCGGACGGGATGGTTCTTCAGCTGAAGAATCAACGTCATACCACAGGATACGTGATGTTTGTAATTTGTATAGTGTCTGACTAGGTATGTTGTGGTCAGTGGAATAACACTTACCAATAAGTAAAAACCGGAGATGAACTGGGATGCATATTTGTTTGACCAAAATTCTGGAAACCTCTGATCTGGATTTGGCTGTTGGTTCAGAAATATCTAATCTTAACACAACTGTCATTTAAAAAAATCGCTAAAATATAGTTTGAGATTGTATTAGTTTTTATTGAAGATTTCTTTTTACACAAGTGCTTAATTGGCTTAAGTGTTTACTGAATGCAAATGCAGCCTACGAGCTATAAACCAGTGAGCTCATGTTCTCCTCGTTGGTCAACACGTTAGAGCAAAGCACGTCGTAAGCATTATGTGATTACTATAATACTTGAATATATACAGCTTCCGTAACGGCGTGGTGGGGCGATGTTTACCTTACCATTGGGATGTCCTTGATCATTGGGATTTTTGGTTACTAGAGCTCGCCCCGTGGTCGAAAACTCGAGCAAAAGTAATTGTGCAAATTTCTCTATTTTCACCTGGCTGTCATAAGTTTTGCAAAAGTGTTTTAATATATAAGATAGATAGAACACCCTGATAACTATTGTTTCATCAATAATAATTCCCTTAATACAATCCAACAATATAACTGCTCTAGGCATACCCAGTGTTAAACACAATGAAGTGTACTGTACATACTATGAACTTAATTCTAATAAATCACCTTTGGTCGCTTTAAAAGCAAGAGGAACACGTTAAGACATACGAGTTATACTGTGCATTATAATATTACGCAAATTCCAACCAATGAAGTGAAAATAAACATGAGACATTAAAATCACAGTTAATATGTTCTACGGAACAATTATTGGGCGTCCCCATCTCAACAATCTATATATTTAATTGGAAACTGTTATTCTTTGTCTTCACTAATTTGAGAGAACTTTGTAGAGGTGTCTAAAGAAATGTCTTGGTCTGTAGGTGAGCCATCATAAGAGAAACAAGGTAAATTCCCTTGAGTCTCTGCGGCCTTTAAAATTCCCTTCCCAATTCCCATGTTATTCTTATGGAAGAAAAACGGGCTTTTTGCTCCACTAATTTGAGAGAACGGCTGGGCGTAGAAACTTGGCAGGATAGGGGTGTCTTAAGAAAGGTTTTGGTCTGTAAATGAGCCAATGAGCCATCAAAAGAGAAACAAGGTAAATTGCATTGAGTCTCTTCCCTAGAGGCCTTTAAAGTTCCCTCCCCAGATTTGTTTAGATTATGGCCAGGTGGAGAATTTTACACGATCTTTTAATGAAACAGCAGTTACAGTAACATTGAAATTTTATTGAAAAGGTCATGTTTATAAGCATTTTTACTGAAACTGTAAAATGAAAATGTTGAACATGTTTTGTGATTTTAACATTCATTTTACACTGCATGGTAAGTGTTATCATTTTTTTTCTTTCAAAGGAACAGATAATTATTTCTTATCGGGTTAGCTTGTATTTATTGTAAGGGTTGCCACTTGCCTTTTTTTCTACTTTCAATAATCATTATTACATCAAAATAATACCCCCGCCACAGCAAACCTGCCGACTAAGTGAATTTTCATTTGTCAGAATTGATTTTCAATTAAATCTATTTAAATAACATTAGGTTTATCTAGTTTGCGGTTTTGCTTCTACAAGGAAACTAATAAAGTGTACTTTTTTGTAAAATATCAATAGCTTAGTATAAAATAAATAAATTTCTCATGTTTTAATACTTTTTAAACTTTAACACTTTTCAATGAAATGGTGACCATACAAAGTAGGTATTTTAAGCCAAGCATGGATGGAGAAGAGTGTAGGATGAATGGCGCGATCTTGTAGTCTTGTTAGTGACTAAGGCCGACATATTCCTTTGAAACTGCTGTTAATTAATAGCCCATACAGCTAATGGCAATTAAGGGACCTACAGTTTATAGTAGAATCCGAACCACATTTTTGCCTTGGTATCAACAAATTGGTGTAATTATCAGGATAGTACTGCCACAGACAATATGTGGTACTGCGGATATGCGCAGTACCCACTAGTGCGGACGTTAAACGTAGAATCAAAGTTAGGATGGCATTTTTAATAGGATTAAATTATCTACATTGTTGTGGTTTCAATACGTTAATGTAAAATCAATCCAGGCAAATGGAAATTCGCTTAGTCAGCAGGTTTGCTGCAGTGGGGGTATTAATAACTTTAATTTATCAATCACAGTTAGCTGAATTTGCTTGAAACCTCAAGAGTGACCATCGATTTCGACGGGTACCTAGTAATTGATTGATTTGCACATGAGTTATAAAAGGGTATCGTACCATTGAAGCAGTGAAGCAGAGATAAATGTGGTGACGTTGGTCCATGTGTTGAAGACGACACTTTCAAAACGAAAACCACTATCACATTAAATCCGACACCACCACCACCGCGCACTGACTGGCCACATACACTGTAGTGTACGTGACTTGGGAGGCTCACAACACGCACACACACACACACCAGCGATAACTCTACGTGCGGGGGACTTTACCACGGACTATAGTCCTAGACCTACAACGTACAGTAGACAGCACAGTGATGACGTTAAAAACATCACCACTTATGCTTTATTCGTTTATCTCAGCAAAAGCCTTGATTGCGGCAAAATCCAAAAACTATCGCGGACGTTCTTTCATCGTCTCCCTCGGTCATGGAAACATCATCAGCGTTTTCCGTGATCGCAGTCAAACCTTGAATATATCGTGCGTTCATGTAGACATGATCATCGTAGACATGAATATCTTCTTCGGTATTATAGACATCATCATCATCTCCCACGGTCATTAAAACGGCAACATATTTTTCCGCCATTGCGGCAAAGTCTTGAATATCTTCTTCGCTCTTGGAGATATCATCAATGTCTCCCGCGGTCACGGAAACGTCACCTTTTTCCAAGATTGAGGTGCGCGGTAACAGTTGGGGGAAACGGACAGAGGAGCGCAAGTCGTAAAACTGTCAACCCCTCGGCCGATGAATTCGTCGGGGTAGGACCAAGGAGCGCAGAGGTGCTTG